CTCTATTTTTAAGTACTCTATTTTTATTCCTACTTATCTCATTTCACAATGAGCATTCCTTTTTTGTCTGCATTGTTTACTGCCTGTTTATACTGCTTATTTTGCATTGTTTGCACTGTTGCTTGTTAATACTGCTTATTTTGTTATATTACACAACCTTATGATGGTTTACTGTTTACTTGCCCCTTGCATGGTGATATGTACATACACATTGAGAGCCGATGTACCAGAGTCAAATTCCTCGTGTGTCTGACACACCTGGCCAATAAAGCTGATTCTGATTCTGATTTTCCCCAGCTGATGGAGGTGACTGGGAAGAACCAGGATGAGTGCATGGTAGCGCTCCACGACTGCAATGAGGATGTCAGCAGAGCCATCAACTTCCTCTTGGAGAGCACTTCAGACATGGTGAGTGATGTCATGTCTCAGTTAATCTCATCTTGACCTTTAGCCTGTCATTTATTTCAACTATATGAATTTGCTGTTTCAGGTGTTGTGAAGAGATTTCTTTGCTTGGAAAGCATCTTATTCTGCAAGCATGTAGCGAATAACTGTTTTTACTGAGAAGTATGATTTTAAACTTTAAAAATTTATGATCACAGAGTAAAAGCAGTAGCATGGACAGTGAAAGTGAGAATAATCACTCACAATTTTAAGTTGTACGCATGCTGCAGCAAATCAAATTGTCCTGGTTGGTGGTAGTTGACATTTTGACACATCACAAGGAAAAGCACAGGTGCTATTTATTAACCTGAATTGGCTGAATTCCATTTATATCTCAGTTGGTTACAGGGGCCAGGTACAGTCTACGCTGGCTCACCATCACCTTTCACTGAGCTGCTCAAAATGATCATCAGTGCTTGATGATGCCACTGGATGATTCTTGTTCTTAGGCGATACCACTTTTATAAGTCCTGTCTGACTGTAGGTGAGTGGGTTGTTCCTGTGCAGTGTAAATGCCCTACGTACCAATAATCCTTTCACAGTTGATTTTACTTACTGGGTCTGATTAGACCTAGATTATAGTTTTTTTATGTGTTGATTTTAAATTTGTATGATATGTTAAGCGCTTTGGTCAGCTGTGCTGTGGTAAAGCGCTATATAAATAAAGTTTTGAATTGAGTTGAGTTGAGAGACCTGTTGGCAGGACAGTATGAGTGTACAGTCCATGTTTGATTGACAGCTCAGTGACTCTGCTATTAGAATAACCTGTTAGGGTGGGACCTCTTACACTTTTGTTATTCTTATTAGTACATGAGATCTGGTGACCTCACACAATCCTAGTAGAGCACCGCCCTACTTCATACAGAGGTCTGAGTAGCCAGAACAACATTGGGCACTGTTCAAACAGGTTTCTACACATGTCTGTAGGATTAAGTGATGGGTAAGAATTGTCCTCTAATCACTCACCATGCTTTTGTTATGTGTGTTTGTGTAATTATTCATATTTTTTTATTATTGATGTATTCCTTATTCAGATCAGACAGAAGTTTCCTAAACCCTAAACAGTTTTATAAAAGTTTGGAAAGGCGGCATCATTTGTCTGAAATGTCATCATGCAGATTTATATTGAACCATTGTAGCCTAGCACCATGGGCTGTATCATGAAGGCAGCATATCCTCCATTCGTGTCTACACACGATGTGTTCAGGTTAGAGTATGGATACCCAAACTCTGGACGATGGGACCTGTTGGTACCCGAGAGTTTGGACCGGGTTGGGACAGAAATTTAGAAATTATGTTCAGGTCCCTGTTCAGCTCAGACACATAGACCAAACTTTAGGATAGACGGCTGGAGCACTCAAATGCCTGCTTATAGATAAATTATAAACTTATACCTACAAATATATATATGTGTGTACGTTTATATATAGATAACAAGTATATAATTCTAAACAAATCTGCTGCTAATGATAATGGGGGGCAAAAACCACTGTACAAACTCATCTGTGTCGGTCTTGGTTTGGGTTCGGATGCCATGCTCTCGGGCACGGGTCTTGTTCTGACAGAGGTATACAGCCCAATTCATGCTCTAGTTCAGGTTCTGTGTAGGTGACATGTCCATGTTCACATCAAGGATGAAAAAAGGGAAAGGTACAGAAAACTTTTCATATGTTTTTGCATCTTATTATCAGTTAAGATAAAATAATATTGACATTTTGTGACCTGCTCAGAAGAGGAACAAATACTGTGAAAGGTTTAAGGTTGTTCTGTACATGCTGCTGGAAAAAGGTTAGCATTCAGTAAACTTCAGTAGAATTCGTCTCTGAGCTGTCCTCTGCCATAGTGACTGTTATGTCGTGTGCTCTCTCAAACATCAGATACTTCTAGCGTGAAGGTACACTGCTGTACACCATTTGTCAGCTCGGAGAGTAAACTCAAACAGGTTACCAGATGTCTGTCAAACATTTGGAAGTTGTTCTGTGTATGTGCATTGAATCCAAGTGAGTGTCCCAACATTTGTGAAGAATAACCGGCACAGATAGTAAGGAGGTCCTGTAGGGAAGGGCACCCGGCCAGGCAACTACTCGCATTGTTTTGGTTTTGTGGAAATCTAGAAATAGCAAACAGTCGGTTTTCCCCTATACGTAGAAGTGTTTGTTGTTGTGGTATATACTGCAGTCTTCTGATTACATCTGTTGCTGTAACCTTCACATTCTGAACTGCCATGAACAAAAGGAGTGAATTTTCTGATGCTGTAAGAACAGCTGTAGCATAAGGCGAGAGCGGCCAATTCAACAAATAACCCAATAAATTAAGTAAGTGATGTTTTTATGTCCTTAATCTTGAGTCAGTACATTTTGAGAATCTTCCAATAGCAAGCATAAGATTTAAATGTTTTTTTCTTATATAACACAGCTGCCTAGTGTGTACTTCAAGTACATATGCTGATCAGAAAAGAGCGGGTATCACAGTTTTTGCTGTAACTGTTCCAGGAGTGTTTTTAGACTGTCTCTTTATCTTCTTGAACAAAATACTCAAGTTCAAAGTATGCAGAACACCAGAGGATGCACCCACGTGGTACAACTGTGAAATGTCACTGAAATAGAGGCAAATTAATATATAATTAAAGCTGTGTTGCCTGCTCTGTTCATTTCATTAATCTGGCACCTTATTTTGTGGTGTTATGATTTGTTTTAATCCCTTTGTATTCCGGTCATCCCATTCTTTGTTTAGACCTCATGGGAGACAGTAGGGAAAAAGAAACCGCTGGTGAAGGAGGGTCCAGCTGAAAGCAAGGAGAACAAGGAGAATAGGGAGAAGAAAGGAGAGAGGGAATCTAGCAAAGGCCGTGCAGCCGCCAACCGCAAGGGCAAGGGGGCCAGTCGCAGCCGACAGGGTATGGACTCTATCGAGATCCTCCACATTGAGTCACATCTAGCTGAGTCTGATTTAGACAAAATTGCTGTTACTGAAAGTCATATTTTCTCTCATCTGTTCCATGTGTGTTTGTACACAAACAGCACGTCCAGAAGAAAACGGCGTGGAGGTGACACCGGTGGACAGAGGTTCAGATCGAGGGCGCAGGGTCAAAGGAGGCAAAGGTGAGCACATGCACTGGACAACAATATCAGGAGGCCCAACACATGGGAGGATATGTTTGTGACGTTTATGTGAATGTCATGCAGGATCTGGAGGTCGGGGCAGAGGCAGAGCACCAGCAGGGAGCCGGTTCTCGGCCCAGGGCATGGGGTATAGTGGCAACACACACCCTCTCTCACAAATGTTTTCACATCATTTTAGGTGTAAATTAAGTACCAGCATGTTTTTCATGCCAGGAAAAAAAAAATGAAATTGTTTGGATATGGCATTTCAATGAATGCAAGTGATGCACTTGCAACTGAGTGTTGTTGTGTTCCCAAGGCTTTTTGTTTTGCTCCTAAAAGACTGAGCCCCTTTCAAATACCACCTCAGTCCCCACACAAACACCAGAACCCCAGTGGACCATCCAGAGTTGCCCCTTGTTCAATGTTTAGAAAAATAATTTACTAAATCTTATTTGAGTCAGTCAACCAGTTGTCAACTTTCAGTTCGTTTCTGTGTAACTCAGTAGTCCTCTCTTTGAATTTTCACCAGGACTTTCAATCCTGCGGACTATACTTCAGAGGCTGGGACTGGAACTACACAGACTGAGGTGTGGGACACAGTACCCAACAACAGTACAGATGGGACAGGTGAGCTCTAGCAGACATGTTGCTCTTGGCTTGGACAGATAGTTCTGTGTAGCTCAGTGCAAGTGATATTAATATTATGCAAATGTACATGTGCTTCAGATGTCTTTATCTACGTACTTATTTTCACTGTATTTGAACTTATGACTCATCTTTGGTTGTTTTCTAGTTGCCTGGAGGAACACCTTGGAAGACTGGGCAGCTGAGGACTGGAGTGAGGATGTTAGTGTGAGTTGACACAAAGGTTTGCTTGTTGCAGAAGAAGCTTTCAGTACACAATGTTCCAGTGTGTACTGAAAACAGTTCTGTGTCTGTTGCTTTACATGTTCCTGCAGCTCTCAGAGACCAAAGTGTTCACCTCTTCATGTGCGCCTGCTGCTGAGAACCACATCACATCTGGGCAAAGGTATGCAACTGTCTTGTTTTTCACTTTTTACACTGGCAACTTTTATGTCTGTGTCCTCCAAGCATTTTCTAACTGACTTTACTGTTTTTTTGTGTTAGTCTGGACCTTGCATCTCTGCTGCAGAAGCCTGTGGCTGGAGGGAGAGAACCACCTTCCTCTCCGAGTCTGGTCTTCACCAACTCCCATCACCACCAGCCTCCGCAGCAGCAGCCGGCCCCCAGTAGCACAAGCTATGCACATGCTGCTCTGGTAGAAGTTTATACACATTCCTTCATCTGTCACATATAGATGGATACACAAAGAGAAGCAGTGTTTGATGATTGCACTCCTTTTTCCTGTCTGTACTAGTCGTCATTTCTGGGAGCTGGTTTTGGGGAATTGGGTCAGGTCAAAAGGACTCAGCCCAGTGCTGGAGCTCAGATACTGGAACAGCTGAAGGGTCCTGGCTTGGGTCCACTCCCTTCATCCCAGGCCGCTTCTCCTGCTAGCAATCAAGGAAGCAACACCTCCATTGGTCGACTGCCAGGCCTGGGAGCACCTGTACCTCCGCCCTCCTCCTCAAGTTGGGACATGAAAGCTTCAGAATCCAGCACCACCTCGCTGTCGTCACAGTTCAGCCGTAAGTGTTCAGACAATCTGTGCAGCAGATGAGCATACCAGATCCCGAATTGTGTGTTTCTCTTATGAGTTCTTATAGGTTTTTATATATACATATATTTATATCCTTGTCCTGTGCAGGTATTTTGTTGTGTGTCTTGTTTCTGCAGGGGAGTTTGGCCTGCAGCCAGAGCCTTCTCTTGTACTGAGCCAGCTAGTTCAGAGGCACAACAGCCCCTCCTTGCCTCTGGCACATCAGCCCAGTCCTCCATCGCAACAACAAGCACCCCCTGCTTCAGCCTCGCCTGCTCCTCAGAACACCACTACGCCAGCACAGGCAGGCCTGGTGATGACTGTTGCTGGTGCTAAACCTCCCGCCTCCAGTGCAGGGCTGGACCCTCAGGGCAGCAGTACACCACAGCAGCAGCGGGCACAGCTCAAAGGCCAGAAACGAAGGATACCTCCCACATCAAAGGTATGTAAGGGCTGGGGATGGGCAGAAGATGGCAGCTTGTCTTTCAAGCATGAATGGCTATTTTTGAACTTTGGTCCTGTCTTTAGAGCTGATGTCCCATATCTTACTTGGCAAAGCAAGAATTGGATGTATTGCTGCTCATTTATTTTGTAAATGGCCCAGTGTCAGTAGTTACATGAGCTTAATGTCATGGTGCTAAGACCTGAGTGTGTTCTGTCCTTCCTGGCAGATCCCCTCTACAGCGGTAGAGATGCCAGGCTCAGCTGACATCCCCGGTCTAAACCTCCAGTTTGGAGCTCTAGACTTTGGCTCGGAGTCAGAGTTTGGAGTTGTGGACAACTGTGTGAGTGCGGCATCCAGAGAATCCACAGCAGCCCCTGCCCCAGCACCACCTGTGTCAGGGCCGGGATCACAGAGCCAGCCTAGTCTATACTCAAAGCCCCTCAGGTTGTGTCACTGCTCAATGAGAAGTCATATCTCTTTAGCATATCAGTTGCTGCCTGTAATTACTAATGTGAACTAACCTGGTCATCCCTTCCTGATGTTACCTTTCAGTGAGTCGCTGGGCAGCCCTCTCTCTGTTGCCCTGCCCCTCTCCTCATCAGAGCCAGTATATCACTCCTCCTCAGTGGCATTGCCCAGCCTCACCTCTTCCGCCTTAGGGACTGCTGGCTCCACCAATCCTCCCTCCTCTTCTTCATCAGTCTCCACCACCTCCTCCTCTGTATCCTCCTCGTCCCCTTTTTCCACAGTGGGGGAAAATTATGAAGGGACCATGGCCCCTCACACACGACTGGCCTTCTCTCAAAACAAAGAGGCAACGGGTCCTGTCATGGTGAGCTGAGAGAAACAGTTCATCCTGCCTTGCAGGTTTCTTAATGTTAAGTGAGTTTAAACAGCTTGACTGAGAAAGTGGAGGTCATTGAGTTTTGTGTAAAACAATCTCCAGGTTGGGAAACTGACTGAGCACAGTGATTTAACACAGCCTTCTTGCCACCTTTGGGGAATCAGTTAGCCAAATCTAGAGTGATATTATGAAAGCTAATGGAGTTGACATGAATTCAGTTTGATTCTCACTTTTTATGTGGTCATCCCATAAGTAATTAAAGCCTTCGCTGAATTCACTCTTGTTTATCTTGTGTACTGTTTGTAGATATGGTAGTGATTTGGATCAGTTGTCATAGTACGCAGTCACTTAGCTGCTTTTTTCTTATTACCAGAATGGTCTGAATGGTGTAAGGACCTCTGCTGTTCTAGACAGTAAGTTACCTACTACTGAGCTATCTGTTGGCTGCTGGCAGCCATCTTTCTGTAGGCTGTGCCCTTCTGAGTCAGTCACAAGACATTTCCTCCCTTCTTCGTCAGCGTCCTCTACACCGAAGCCAGAGTCACCATCTCTGAACATTAGCGCTAATGGTGCCCCAGCACCCTCCTCCCACTTACCCTCCACCTTGCCTGTACACAACTCAAACACGCTGTCCAGCCTGGCACAGGACCTGTCTTCAGCCGGCCAGCTCAACTCACTCAACAGGTGACACACACATGTGAAACTTGGCTTTCCCCTCTCTCTGCTGTCGTCTTACAGTGAGTTCCTTTGAGTAAACCTCCTCACCTCCTAGTTGGCAGAGTCCTACCACACTGAATTTTAAGAATGCAGACCAGTGGATGCTCTCACCTGCTGTTACTTCTGAATGTACCTTTTGAACATTTTCTGTGTTTTAAAAAGTTTGCTACTTTACAAAATGAGTTGGAGAAACATGTTATGTTATGCAAACAGAAATGTTGTAACATTGTGATTGCTGATTATCACTGTCTCCTCCCTGCAGCCATGTCAGCAGTCATTCCTCAGTTTCAGCTCTGGGCTCCAGCTCTCTCACTGTAAGTAGCTGTCTGGTCCGAGCATGTTAGATGATATTTCCTCCTAATGGTTTGCAAGCAGCTGAAGGTGTAAAATTCCACACCAGCATGTAACATGATTATGCTCATGTTGACCTACAAAGCTGACACACTGTCTGTATAACAGTTAAAACATTAGTAAAGCTTTTCAAATATGAAGGGAATGGCTGGTAATGGACCCATGTTACCTGGTTTCCACGGTGTAGCTGTATCAGGGTGTCCACACATCTTAAAAAGTCAATCAGTATGTTTAGTGATCTCAAAAAAGGTATTAAAAAGTCTTAAATGTAATTTTTGAGGGTCTTAAATAGTGTTTGCCACCTGTAGGATTATACATTAAAGCCTTTTAAAATGGTTTGTGTGTCCCGACTGAGTGCTAGCTGTCACTGTGATGTTATACACATAAATTATGTATAGTGGGATTAATACAAATTAGACAGCAGTGGTTAGTGATAATTATTCTCCAGCAGTGTGTCAGAGACAGACATGCAAGTGTCATTGTTATTGCTAGCTTGCAACCTAGCTAGCAGACATGTGTAGCCATCATGGGTAGGTGTCGTGGCAGGGTACGCCACAGTACTACAGGGTTAGGCTTTTGCCAGGGACTGACTCTGAGGCCAGGTGTAACACCTTTTATTTAAAAAAAAAAAAAAAAAAAAGTTTAAACGCAGGACAAGGGTAAGTCAGCTGAGCTTGAGGAAATTGATGAGATGGCCTCCGAGGCAGCAGAGCTCAGTGTTGTACTGTAGCTCTTATTTTCATACACACCATCATCTTGTGTTCTCTCTCTGTCTCAGCCAGGGGTAATGCTCTGTTATGTTCTAACATAAAATAACCTTTTTAAAATTTTACGCTATATACAGTGGGACATAAATATTTGATACACTGCTGATTTTTCAAGTTTTCCCACTTACAAAGAATGGACAGATCTGTAATTTTCATTGTAGGTACCCCTCAACTGTGAGAGAAAACAATTCCAGAAAATCACATTGTTAGATTTTTAAATAATTTATTTCCATTGTATTGCATGAAATAAGCGTTTGGTACAATAGAAAAATAGAACTTAATATTTGGTACCGAAACCTTTGTTTACAATTACAGAGGTCAGACGTTTCCTGTAGTTCTTGACCAGGTTTGCACACACTGCAGCAGGGATTTTGGCCCACTCCTCCATACAGGTCTTCTCCAGATCTTTCAGGTTTTGGGGCTGTCGCTGGGCAACAC